TAGAAGAGATCACTAATTTATATTGTAATTATTCAAGTTATTAACTGTAATTAATAGTATTAATTACTGTAATTTTAGAAAAAAATATTTATCGATATGACTAGTTTAAAATTTTACTACAGGCCATCTAGAAATCATACTTTACCTATTAGTAGTCTACATTTTTTGACATTTACATTTACACAAAAATATAGTTAATATTTTATTGACAGTATTTTTGTGTTAAATATTTGTGAAAATAACAATTTTCTCTTGTCCAATGATTTTCAAAAAGGATGTATTTTGTCATTAGTCCCTCTAATTATTAGTGTCAGATTATATAACTAGTATGATTCATTAATAGCACAAATATATGTTGAAAAAAGATCATGTGCATATAGTACAATAACAGGCTTTACATAAAAAGAGTACATTATGTAGAATATAATAGAATAAACGTTCCGCATTTTAGTTTACTATGAAAGGTAACGTAATCCCAGATTAACTGATCATCATTTACCAATGGAATATACGGAGTGTTCAAAAATTAAGGAAACAGGTCAATTGTTCTCATATTTGTAATAATTGAGCAACTGTATAACTACCCTATTAAAACATATTACTTTTAATCTAAATAAACAAAAAAAATTTTTATATTGGTATATTTTTAGATTATTCTTATCAACTTTTCATCTTAAAAAAATAATTTAGATATTTTCAACACAGTCGATACATTATTTCTTAACAATTAACATACTAAATAACACTTAGTACAAAGAAAAAATAGAAAAAGTGTTTTAATTCAAAGAAAAAAATATAGTTCAATTAAATATATATAATATAATTTCATTTTGTCTGAGCGATTTAAAATAATTGTATTTTTCTGAGTAAATAGTTTTCAATCAAAATGTTTTTCTAATAGCTCAATTGCTGTACGAAAAAAAAATTAATATAATTTAACTAAAAGCTTAATTTTTATCAAAGCCCATTAATTTAATATAAAATTTTAAAATTATATTCGTAAGATTAATTACATTTTTATTATAGAAACATTTATAAAGCATACAATTTTAATGAGTTTTATTTTTAGAAGGCAAATTAAATTAATGTGGAAAAAATTCCCATTGAATAAAATTATTTATGAAAATTAATTGCAAATTAAGTCAACTGAGTTAAGAAATTAAAAATATAGTTAATACAACTCAATAATCTTTTTGAATCATTTGAAAAGTAATACAAAGAAAGTAAATAAAATCTAAACACTTAAAAAATATTGTAATCAGAATTTCATTTTTATTATGCACAAGATCACCTTTAATGTGTTTTACATATGTTTGGCGATATGCCTAATATAAAAAAATACTAACATAAATCGATTTTTTTCATTCTTTATAAATATTACACTAACATGAACAGAACCGTAGTTAGGCGCTGGCAAGAGGACATTTGCCAAGAGCGTATTTTCAACGAATAACCGTTTCATTCAGCTATAATAATTATTTACAAAATTTGTTTACCTTTTTTCCTAATAAAGAGCTTTTTATGGATGTGGTACAAGCAAATTAAGTGTCGAAACTCAATTTAGTTCATTTCCTCCAAAGTTGTTACTTTCTCTTTATTCAATTATTTGTTATAAACATCAACTTTATTAACTTATTTTAAATAAAAATCGATTTATAAATGTATTAAATTTTGATGAAATAAATATAACGAAAAAAGTATTTATACTTATTAAAAATAGTAACATGTTTCGACAGTACCATAATTTGATTGGTTTATGTTGATTCTTTTAAATCAAGTTAAAGGTAATATTTAAGTATATCTAATATATAAGTAAAACTGATAACGAGAAAATGAAAGAATGATTGTCTAAATTGTTAGGGAATAATATAAAATTAGATTATGATTGTTTTAACTAGTGGAATTATAGTCTTAAACTTGCTTTTTTATTTTTTAGGTATTTTCTGACATTATTATAATACGGTTGAGTCGAAAATACATACGTTATTTTTGCGTATCGATATTTATTAACAGCAATCTGTCACCATTATTTACAACGTCTGCACTACAGTATTTTAAGCAAAATAATTAAAATAAAAACATTTTCAAAAAATTAGTATTTAAAATAAAATTTGAATATGGTTTACTATTTTTCTATAAATTATTTTTTAATACAGTTTCATTAAAATATGTTTTATCGAGGTGTTTCAAGCATAAGAACATTACATGTTCAATATAAATTTAACTTCTTTGTAATCTAATTAACAAAAATTTAAATTTTGTAAATTAACAATGGTTATTCAGTATAATAATTATATGACGTATAATATACGTACCAAATTCATATCAATTAATTTGTAATATAAGTATTATAGTCATTTAAATTAAAAATTACTAAACATATGTTTTCATTTAGAACATGTTGTAAAATATAAATATTTAAATTTCTTGAAAACATTGAAACTATGTTATAATTTTTCATTGTGTCAAAGTCTTTAATTTTATCAAATGTCTATCATAGTATGGTTAAAATCTTTGTATATGTACTTAACATTATAACTTAAGAAGTGTTTACAATTTACACATATATTATACTATATGTTATATATATATATATATTCGTATGGTAAGGTAATACTATATGTTTAAAGTAAACAATAGGTTTTTGTAACTGTTTCACACAATCTGATTTACAGAATCACTAGAAAAATCCAACGAGATATTTTTTATAACTCATTTTTGAAATGTATAAATAAAACATAGACAACATTTGAATATTCATTCTGTATTAACATAATATCAAATAACGTTCTTCAAATTAAAAATATTGTGTCCTACTATAAATAGTCCTTGAACTTTTTAGTACAAAATTCAACAGACACAATAATTTAAACATTTATTAAAGCTAAAAATATATACACGTTTATTTATTAGATGAAATTGAATAAGTAAATTTAACCACAAAAAGTAAATTTCACGAAATGTATTTTTTTTTAATTTATCAACATTTTTTATTTAAATTTATATGTTTTATGATTTGAATATATTAAAATATCTTTTCGACTCTTTTCATTAGTATTGTATTCTAATGTAATAAAAAATAAGACACTTATTCTACTAGTTAAATTTCAAAATGTATACTTACAATCAAGCATCGTAACAAAGTAGGTTGTAACTCAATTTTTTTATTTACAATAGAAACTACATTATTATTGTAATTAAATTTGTAGATAATAAAGTAATATTGTTTTTGTTGGGATAAAATGATACTCTGTCATACAAATAATGGCTTCGACACGAGTAACCAAGACTGAACTAATTGTGACACTCAATATATACAGATCTGTTTATCATAAAACACTCAATTATTTTTCGATTATATTTTTTGATAAATAATTTTTTTTAGGGTTTCTTACAGTTATATATTCTCAAATTATTAGTTATGTAATACTTTTTAAGTTCATCCCTTATGCCTATTAAGGGTACTAAGTTTATTTTTACAAATGAAAAAATATAATTTTTATATTTATTATTTCCATTAGGTAAAAAATAATTTGTACTACATTTGATTGAAACTATGTGACGTTAACATGTGCCACAAGAGGGTTGAAAATTGGATGGATATTTAAATTTTCGTTATTTATTTTACAAACTAAGCTATTTACAGAAAATATTATAGTACTAAATGTTTACTGTAAAAATCTATAATATGTAGGCATAAAAACTAAAAAAAGAACATATTTTTATCTTAAACGTTTAAATAGATATTATTCGTTATTTAAAAATTGCAGACAAACTATTCGTCGTAGAAAAAAAAGTTGTTTAGAATTTAATTTTTAATTTTTTTTGCTGTGTGTTTTATTTTCAGTTCTATCAAACGTAACTGAAATATTCGGAAATTAAAGCACGAATTTTTTTTTTTGAACAAAAATAGAATATAGATATACAAAATAAATGTCTATAATAACGATTCGATATTTTTGATAATAATATTTCTATAACTATAATAGTTCTATAAATTTTTCTGTAAATAGCATAGTTTGTAAAATAAGTAATAAAAATCGAAAAATCATCTATACAGTCGAATTTTTAATTACACAGCACATGTTAACGTCACACAATTTCAATCAAATTTTGTACAAATATTTTTTTTTTCATAAATAACAATTCTAGGGGGTGTTTTGAATAAACTTCAAAACTTCATTTTTAAAAACCGCCCTAAAACATAATTATTAATTATGATTAACATAATTTTTTGATAAATATCTGTTCTGAATTGTAAAAAGTACAACATATGTAAGTTTATAACGCTCACCATAAAGCGGTCAAACTATATGTATTACACTTAAATAAACGACATAAATCTCTGTCAGCTAGGTAGGTAATGTAAGTCTACATTTTTATTTTAATTCACCTGAAAATGTCGGATAACAATACAAGTGCCCATGACGTTTTCACTTGCTGTCACAATGCATGTTATAATGTTCACTAAACAAAGACTTATAATTCTACATGATAGGTAAACATGTATCATGAGATATTCTCTTTTTTTTTTATCTAATAATACTAAGATACGAAACAACAAACATTGAGTGCATAAAAAGTGTTTATTCAGTACATACAATAGTAATGTCTTTTGCATAAATACTTGAGATGTATTTAAAATGTATATCAACATTATGTACACATTAAAAATCAAATAAATGAGTGATAAATGCGATCTTTGAGTTGATATCGGAGATACTTTGTAAATTTAATGAATTACGTGGACATAAAACAACAATTTTTGGAATAACATTTTGATAACAAAAACGTAACCAAAAAATAAAATTACTATTATACTTAAGTAGTGTGTTGTTGACTCTTGTACTTTTAAAACGTTTAGTGTATGATAAAAAATTATTTAAATACAAAGCAAGTAGAACCAATAATATATTTACACCATAAACTGAAGTATATGTTTTTTTATCAAATAAAAACTGTTTCCGATAAAATAAAGTTACTGTTATTCAAGTACTTACATGTTGCTGGTTTGAAAGTAGAACTAACAGTTATGTTTGCAGAAAGTCCAGGCAAACTCATACATGGTAATATTGAAAACAACAGCGCAAAATATAGACCGTATAATGCTGCCATAGTTTTCTTAGGCTACGATTATTCTTAATAAGTTCTATAACCTAAAATTCATAAAAATAACCATTAGGAAAATAATAACTATTTTATAAAAAAACACATAAGTTCAATTATTTGATTAAATCATTGTTCGTGTTCTACAATTATTCAGTATGTTATATTACTTTCGTAGTATTAATACACGAATCGAAATTACTCGGTCACGCAATTAACAATTAATGTTTTAGATAGTAATTCATAGTTAAATAATAAGTTTCGTTAAATATAAACGTGAAAAATTAAAAACTTTACTTAGTAAACATATTTTAATACGATTAGGCTTTTAAACCAAATTTCATAAATGCAAAAATAAAGCTATTATAAATAATTTATGTAATCTTTATAAGCAGCTAATTTAGAAGTATGACAGAATTATATAATAATGTATTATAAAAATGGATTGTAAAATAAGAAGTGCAACTTAATGTTGAAAAAGAAATATTAACTAGGTTGCGTGGATGTACCAGCTACACATACGTTTTATAATAATGTAAGAAAAACTTTATAAAATATATTTTAAACGATTTAATTAAAGAATGTACAGAATTACTTTTGTAAAACCATGAAATAAAGTCACATATTACATTTTAAAGTAAAACTTTTTTGTCGACAATTTTATATATAAAAAGTACAAATTAAATTAGCTCCACTAAAGTTTATTAAGAGCTATATAAATAATATTTAATCTACCATATAAGTCAATATTATTATTAATGTATCTTCTTTAAATGTGAAAAATATGTTAGTTTATTTTATATTTTTATTAATTGTAACTTAATATTTTGTAAAATAACACAATTAAACTAGTTCAACAATTTTTTTGTACTTAATACCTGCCGTCAATAGTTATAAATTACTTTAAAAAGTACCCAATTAAGCCATCAGTACTAGAACAATGCAGTGGACTACGGTAATTTCCAGCAATAGTATCCAAGTACTGACCACCAATACTGAATCAGTGCTTAGATAAGATACAACCCTAGTACGGGCTAGCCATTGGTTGGTTGCCAGTACTGATGTAATACTTCACACGTTGCCAATACCGGAACTTATCAATAATTTTTTCTTGCTAATTAGACGTTACTACTAAATTAGGTGTTTTTTCGGAAATATGAATACATAAAAATATAGAGTTTTAAGTAATGATAAAAATAATAATAATCTTTAAAGCAAAAAAAGTTATGATTAAGATTTAAATTTTTGTCTATTATATAAACATTAATACTTTTTTTACATTATTTTTAAATTTCAAATTTCAATTTTCAATCATATACATATCAGAATAATAAATACCAGATCATATATAGTATTTCATTTTTTATTAACTTGAAATGACACCTATATTACCACTTTTTAACAACAAAAACAGAACAAAATTTATAAATAAACAAATGAAATAGTGTTTCAAAAAATATTTTTTTATATTCAATGAAATTATAAGTACTCAGAATTCCGAATAGTTATAATGTTCTAACTTTTTTTTTTTTAATAAAAATTTTTTTTACTCTTAATTTTTTTAAACTTTTAATTATCCAGTTTTTAGCACTTTTCTTATAATAATAATAATTAATGACTCGATAACTATTTTAAGACAAATCCTTATTCAGTTAAAAGCATTGAGTAATCGATTGAACACGGTTGGGTTGGGTTTGGTTTAGCTCGTATTGGTGTATATTTATGATACATTATTAATCATATTTATAAGAAAAGGACTGGAAAATAAATAATTTGATAAGACATGGTTAGCCAACAACAAATACCTCAAAGTGTATTTAAATATTTTTTAAATAAATACTTATGTTATAAATAGAGTGATTTTGTTATTGTAAACCATTTAATTAATCAAAAATAATATGGATAATTTTTTTTGTTATTTCATTTAGTTACATGTTATTACAATTTATCAATCATGAAGTATTTTCGACCTTTATTTGTTATGTCGTTGAAGAATATCAATTTAATGTAAATGATCCAATCATGAAAATTATTGGTGTTTAATAATTTTTAGACCAGTATTCCTAAAATTATTAATGATTTAATGTAGTGATATAAATTTTCATGAATATTAATTTTAATCAATAACACATTATTGACCCATTAATCATATTTGTAAGAAAAGAGCTAAAAAAAACTCTTTCAATATAAAAGACAAAATATAGATTTATCTAAAAGTTACTATTTTTTTTATCTTTCACCAACCTTAAGGTAAGATAATAACGATCGATCAACTATGAATCCATAGTATTATAAAAAAAAATGATCTCTTATGAATTATTAGGTACTACCAAATAATTATTTTAGAATATTAAAGACAGAAAGTTCAAAAATTTATCTAGTTACCAATATCAACATTTGTGTTAAAAAATTAGTTATTAGTGAGTAACAAAAAATACTACAAGCGGCTTTTATGTTACTAAAAATGCATTGTTATGTGTACTTAATTTTGAGAAATACTAAATAGGTCGTGTATCCGCATTCGTCAACTTACCCATACTGAACTTAATCTAATTTAACAAGAGAGCATTAAACATTTATTATAATTTCAATTTAATATTAAGTCTGATAACTAATTATTATCAATTATTAAATCGTGATTATTATAAGTTTAAACATTTATAATACCATTAGTTACTATCACTATTATTAAATAATACTAAATTTTGAATGTTTCTTATAAAAACTCAAATAATCTCCATATTTTGAAAAATATACAATCTTCATTTGAAAACATTATTCTATCGCATTCTTCTTTTTTTCAAAAGTGTTAATAATTAACAAAATACTGGATTAAAAATTGTTATTGACCAGTTATTTTCTCAATTAGATAATTTTCTACAAAATAAGCTAATAACCTTATATGTTCTCATTGATAAAAAGAAGGTTGCTATTCTAAGACTTATTATAAACCAGTTAATTACTCACAAATAAAAAATATTATTGATATTTTTTTTGGAATTTTTAGTAATATATTATTCTTAATTTATTGTCAATTAAATTTTTATAAATTCATTCTAAATACCTTATAAGTGTGTCAACTTTTCAACAGCAACATACAGAATTAGTCACAAAGATATGATAAATCTAATAACTTTTAATCTAATCAGAGCCATTACACTGTAGTATTTTTAACGATTTTTATATTTTTAGACTACATTAAAAACATTGACTTAACTGGACAGGGAGTTTATATGGGGTAAAAATTAAATATTAAAATAATTAATTAAATTTTATAGTTTTAGTCAAAAATTTAAGCTTACCTTAAGGTTTAAGCTTTTTAAGTAATAAAATTCATAACACGCACGTTGAAAACAAATAAAACTTCTATTACCATACAAATAAATCGCTGTCAACTAAAATCTCAATTTCAGTAGAAACCATAATTTTATAACGTTTATATGAACCACGTTCTATAATTTATGAGTTAAAAATTTTCTAATAATAATTTATAAAATAAAATACCCAAAAATTAGATATCTTTAGAGTATATTAGAACATAATTATTTACTGAATTTTATGTTTCCTGGCAGAATTTTTAGATTTTTTATAGATAATTTTAAAAAATTTAAAAAACGTAATTCTACATATGAGAGACAAAATGGCTTATTTTAATCGTTATTTTATCTATAAATTCCTAAATAAATTTATTTGAAAATAGGAATAACTGTGTAAACAAAGAGTGATCACTCTCAGATATTACACCCAGATAACTATGTAATACTTTTTAAGTTCATCCCTTATGCCTGGTAAGAGTGTCAACTTTGTTTTTTTAAATGGTAACACGTATTTTTAATTTAATAAAATGTTTGAGTTTTTAATTCAATAGTAAATGGCATTTGAATTTTTAATATAACTTAATTTGTTTATTAGATATAAACATTTAAAGTTTCAAATTTTTGAGTTAATATATAGGTATAATACACAAGGGATTACAAATACAGGTAGCTAATTGGTTTTTTATGATATTGCTATCACAGTCACGGATTGTTTATTATCAATTATGACTATCAATAGATATACTTTTTGTATTATCAGTTAGTGTATTTATAAACTCACAACAATGTACCTTACTATCATTGATAATAACAATGCTGTGTACCTGCTAATATCGATGTCATAAAAAACCAATTAGCTACCTGTATTTGTAATCCCTTGTGTATTATACCTATATATTAACTCAAAAATTTGAAACTTTAAATGTTTATATCTAATAAACAAATTAAGTTTTATTTAAAATTCAAATACCATTTATTATTGAATTAAAAACTCAAAAATTTTATTAAATTAAAAATATGTGTTGCCATTTAAAAAAACAAAGTTGACACCCTTACCAGGCATAAGGGATGAACTTAAAAAGTATTACATAGTTAATAATTCAAGAATAATGTGTAACTAAAGATANTAAGGGATGAACTTAAAAAGTATTACATAGTTAATAATTCAAGAATAATTTATAACTAAAGATAATAATAAAAAAAAAATTTTTAATTATTATTATTCTGTAAGTAATTGAGTGGGTTATGATAAAAAAATCACCCTATATACTGCGAGGTTATCGCGAAAAAAAACGATTAAAATTTAATATTGAAAATTTTGCTCATTATTATTCATTTGTACTGAATATGGTGAAATCAATAATAATATATTTACTTAATTTCGAAAAAATTTTTATACGTAAAAATTCATTAATTTATCTGTAACAACTATTAATGCTGAACAGTAAAATCAAATTCAACTCAGTAGGATAAAATAGTATAGTAAAACTTTCCTTTGTAATCAATGGCAAGCATCAAAGTAATAACAACACGAGATAAATTTAATATAAAGGAGATAATGTAAGAGCAGTTAAATCTTTATCTACAAGTTCAAAGGAAAACTGAGCAATGTAAGTTGATGATAAAATTAAACCATTGTAGTACAAAAGTCTTAATACAATTATTTATAAATTGAAACCCTATATTTATCTGAAATTTACATAAACTGTGTCCAATTATAAGTATAATAATGA